TCGCCCCCTGGCCGGCACCGGCGGCGGGAAGTTTTACTTGCGGCCCGGAGCCCGTGGCGGATGGTGGGACTCTCCGACCCTGTGCAGTGTAAGTGCCGCGGACGGGCCGGGCCGGCGGGCGGCGGGGCGGGCGGGGCCGCTGCTGTTAACCACGGTGCCGACGACCGCGGTCTGCGCGTGGATCCCTCGCCCGAGAGGCTCCGGGCTGTGCTTGTCGCCCGACTAGAGCCGCCGTCGCGCCGGGCAGAGGAGCAGCGCGGGTGCCTCCGTTCTGCGGCGACCCTGAACTTGGCGGGGCGCCCACGGATGCAGTTTCTACTGTCACACTCCCCGCATTGCCTTTTGAAATATTTTTTCTTTCCTCTCCATGATCGCCTCATGGGAGCAGGAAGAGACGTGTGTCGCCCCCCACCCCGACAGAACAACTGGTCAGGGTGCCCACGGGGCGTTTGGCAGGTGGCCCTCGCCCCGCACCGTGGTGCTTTTTACCTGCAGGCGAAAGGCTGCTGTGATGGTGGAAACTTAGCCCTAGGAGGAGAGGAGGCATCTGAACTTGGCCACGGGCCTGCGGCCACTCGGGTGGGAGTCCCCTCGGCGGCACCCAGCTGCCGGCGAACTTTTTCATGACTCCTGGGCACTTGGGGTGCTCGAGCGCGAAGCCTGTGGGCGCACGGGGCCAGCTGCTCTCAGAGCGCCGGCCGGCGGCCCCCGCTGGGACAACTCGCGGGCTTGGCTCCGGGGCACCGGGCAGCGCCGCCTCCGCCCGACCCCCGCGCGCCCGGGCTCCGTCGCCTGGCCCCCTTGGGTGTCCGTCTCTCCCGAGCGGAGAGCAGAAGCCCAGACGGAAGCCGCGCCCGAGAACTCCTTTCGTTTTCGAGAAATCCCTCCGGTGGAGCCCCAGGGATCGTGGGGACCGGCCCGCACCCGGCCGCTCGCTGTTCCCGGCGCATCCAGACCCCCTCGGGGCGGGCGTGCGCCGGCCGGGGCGAACGGTTAGGTTAAGCCCGTACGGTTGTGTCAACAGAAGGCGTTTCAATCCTTTTTTTTTTTTTTTTTTTTCTTTTTGTAAACTTTTTGTTTTGTTTTTTTGCTAAGAGCGGTCCACCCTTGGAAAAGTTTGAGTATTATGATTCCGGGAAGTAGGATGTGAACCGGGACCGTTACTAAAAATAGTCGTTTTCTCTCCTCTTCCTCCAAAGGCCTTTCAGTTTGGAGGATTTGGCTGAAATCTCCTGCAGCCTGGGTCTCTCTCAGTCCTTGCACAGCATAGTGGAGAAATCTTTTTCGAGTTTAGCTTTCCTTCAGGATTGAACACCACAAATCCTACCGTGTCCGAGCCTGGTGCTGTTTCCTGGGGAAATCTGCAGCAGGTCGCTTTAAAGAGTAGCTAGTATTTTCTGGGAGGAGACCCTGCAGCACACGCAGGGAGGCCAGGGCCCAGGGAGTGAAGACCAGCAGAGCTGGAGAGGCCACTCTAGACCAACTTCATGTGCTTAATGTAACTCTGAGCCCTCTTGAATTTTTAACTTCGCTTCCCTTAATTAATCTGCCCAGGGCTTGTATATAAATGGCTGTCTACAGCTGCTGCAAATTGATTTATCTCCTGATAAAGGTCGGGTTGCTGACCAAAGCATTCTTTCTACCTTCTGTGTGAACTGAAATGTGTTTTACAGGGTTTCCCCCCCTGCTAGTCTCCTTTTAAACATCTGGACCATTTTTAAGTGCACTCAGTGGCTTTTATTATCATTCCCCTCGTTTGCATAGAACAGGAGTGGAACTGGGTCTGTGCCCAGTGAGTCCACACTCCCTAGAATACAAATTGACCAGCTTCTCGGTGATAAACGGTTTGTTAGTGCTGGGGGCCTCCTTTGAGCTTATTGCAGCGGTTTGCCTTCACCATGTGAGTATTCTGTTGTGTCCAGTTTCTGCCACAGGATGCCTTAGAAAAAGATCAACAAATACCATTGTTTCTTAAAACAGCATGGCCCCAATTTAGGTGTTTATGTCAGCTGTGATATGTACAAACAGAAGCACATTCATATTCTGTGCATTTCCTCCTTGTTTATGCTTATAGTTTAGTTTTAACATTATGATGGCTGTCAGATAAGAGAGATAAGGTGGTAAGATTTAATTTTCCTTTTATTATTCTGCAGAGCAGTCTAACCCTGTCACCCAATATTAGTCAGGGAACCTTAGTTTGAGCCAGGCTTTTTTTTTTTTTTTTTTTTCTCCCAGCAAGGATGGATGTTGAAGAAGTTGAAATCTATCCTTTCTTGTGTTAGATTTAGCATTTGATATTCATTTAGTTTACTTTTTTCAAAAGACAAAATTCCAACAAAATGATCACAGAATCAAGCTTGCACACCAAATGGACTGAGATTATGCTGAGAGAATAACTTTATATTAAATATCTTTGTTTGAACATTCATAATTTAATTACAGACCATTTAGGCTGCAGTCACTTTATTTGAAAAGCTAAATATTGTGTGGGAGAATCCCAGAATGTAGCATCTCCAGTATCCAGTTCATACCTAGTAAAAGCAATAGAGAAAACTGTTTTTTTCTCCAATGCTTGGACAACTCAGAGCAGACCAGAAGTGTTTGAAATGATATTTTTTCTTTGTAGACTAAGTGTCTTTGACTCGCTGATACCTGCTAATAATTTGCTTTTAAAATGATCTTTTAAAGGACATTCTTAATAAGTCCTATACCTGTAGAACAATGCAAACTGCACTATTGCAAGTTGCTGGAAAGAGCAGGACAGAATTGTTTTAGCTACAGGGCTGCAGTTTTTTTGTTGTTGTTTTAACACTTTCACAATTTTGCTTTTCTGAGAGAAATAAAATATTGCTCTTGGTGTTAGTATTTGATATAATGAGCTCTCCCACTGAAATGTTAGTCTAAGTATTTTCAGATGAAAGAATACTCCATCAATTGCAAAGAAATACACAAATATAAGGTGCTATTGTAATTTATTTTATTGTAAAATTGAAGCTTAACTAATCTTCTCTCCCCTCTATTTTTTAAACATTGAAAAGGGATCACCAGAAAGAAATGCTTCCAATAGGAGTGCTGGCCAGTGGTTGTCAGTTTAGGACATTCTTCACTGTCAAATCCTGTTTCTCACTTCTTTGATATGAACATCAGCTGACAGGCACTGAATGCAAAGCCTGCTTCATTGAGGTTTTATGCGGGCAACATAGCCCTTCATAGCAAAGCAGTCTGAAGAATTGGCACCTGCAGGATTTGCATGTGAAAAAAACCCAAGTCAGTTGCATTTTGCTGGAGTCTATTACTGTAAGTTATGTAAGTTCAGTGAGAAAGGCTATGTATTTGTTGCTGTTTGGGCATTTAAAGATTCCTTATTTTATGGTCACCTTATTCATCATATAGTGATGCACAGACTTTATTGATAGCAGAGGCAGTGAGCAGTGACCTCTGGCTTTATAGAAGTTATTTATGATGGAATGGAGTTGTTTTTAACCATGTGCTTGCAGAATGCACTTAGAGTCATAGTTAATTTTGAAAATGTGACTGAAAGGATAAATTCATTGAACTTTGAGAATAATCAGAAGTTAAATACATAAAGTTAGTTTAAGACAAATATCCCTTGAAAACAATCTGGGATTTTAAGACTTCTATATTTCTATAACAAGTCAATGTATAAGAAAAAAATTTAAACCTCTCGTACTTATAAACTTGAGGAAAATGGGAGGTTTTCCCCGGTTTTACTCGTTAAATTATGTTTGTCACTGAATGCCCTTTGAAAAATTATAGTTGACCCTATTTATGCAACCTAACCAACAAATGTTAAATCAACTAAAAACCTTTGTGACCTGTCAGTGGGGACATTTATCCAGAGTCAGCTACTTCTTATAATCTAACAAGACACCTTCCAACTTCACTCTTTTACAGCCATTAATATAAGAGTTCCTAAATAATGTTTAAAGAACAGTGAACATTTTATTAAAGCAAACATTAGTTCAGTTTAATGGAGGTAATTGTAAATGATAAGACAGAGCAGGTTATCTCCGTGTTGTTTAAACAGAAGGAGCTACTTTGCACCATTTCCAGTAGCCATCTGTAGAAGAGAAGGGTTTGCACCTGTCTGTCCACACTAATTATAGATTAGGGCCAAAGAAATGAAACTCGAGGAGGTTTGCAGCTAATGAAATCCATACTGATTTTATTGTAAATGTGTTTTATGTAAAGAGGACGATGGTTGAGTTATGAGTGAATAAATCACTATGTAGCTGCTAGGTTCTCGGTTTGGGAGCACAATTCTGCTGCATTAACCTTTGATATTAAAAAAAAATAACTTAGATATGGATGCTAGCCTTTGTTTAGCATCCATAGCTACAATTTATTGAGCAGCAGTGAGGTTCGGTATGCAATTTAGAAGAGCAGCTTGAACAGTAAGACTATTTTGATATTCTCAGATTCAGATGAAGTAGAAGGTAGGCTCTGTTTTAACTTGTGCATACAAAACATCAGAAAATTAGAGAGCATTTTTCTTTTTTCTTACACTTAAGCTTCATATACATGAGAAATTAAAGCAAAATGAGTGAGGAATGCATTCTGCAATAAAAGGTCACATGAATGTCTACCACATCTGTTTATAGTAATTATGAACATAATTAACATAAGAATTACAAATGAAATAATGACAAGCTGAGCAATGAGATATTATGCCATAATGGTCATATGTTGGAATTCTCACATTATAGCACACTAGAATTCACATACTCAAAGAAAGAAAGAAAATGCTAGATTTTTATCTGAATTAATGCTTCGAAACTTATCTGTGTAGGGCAGATGGACTTCTTGCTTTCATAGGAAGGTAACCTATTATTAAGAAAAGAAATAGTTCAAATTAAGATTTCTAGTCTCTAGCCTGGACTTTGAGACAGCTGTGATTATAGACACCAGTTTCTATTATACACTTATTCTGTGATTGTACTTCTTGATTATTGTCTTGCTTTTTTTGTTTTTAATTGAAAGCTTTGAAGCAGAGTGTTTGCTTTGGAAGGGTGTCATGGATTTGTCCCATTTGAGAATTGGTTGATCTTTTCTATAACTGTGAGCCAAAAGTCAATGAACAAACAAGGTATTAGAAATACTATACGTCTACACAGTAAGCACCTTGGCAGATTAGCTGTTGCTCTTTTCTTTATGCTTGTTCTGGGTTTGAAAGCAGTACAGAACTGTGGATTTTTTTTAACTTAAAATTTCTTAAAAGAGCATGTAATGGAAAAATCAGTGGGCATTTGTGAGTTGCAGTTTTTCCTCCTCCAGTTTCATTGGAGTTTTGGGTGTTCCTATGTAGTCTGTGCCCAAACTGATCTAACTACAGTGTAATAAGGAGGGGTGGTAGCCGTGGTCGCTTCTGGTTACTGAGTGCAGCTTTCTGTAACAGCTAGAGAAAAGGTGAAAGGGGACCTTTTATAAGAGCTGAAATGATACTCTAGAAATCTGTTATTAAATTTAAAACATGTAGGAATGACAGATTTTCATCCATTTAGAGCTCACTTGATTTGGTAATGCAGCGTGTCAAGTGGTTTGCTTCCTACACTTGCACCCTTCTCTAACCATTGAACCTGGTCCCTTCTTGAAGATTTATGGAGAAATATTACCTTGTTCTCGACTCAGTGATACCATGAGGTTTTCCACATTATTGGATTACTGGAGGATTGTAGCAGACCCCTTTTTATCTGACATTCATTGCATGACAAGATTTTCACACGTGCCCTTCCCCCACCGTGCCCAGCTTTCTGCACTTCGTGTAACCTATCAAATTTCCCTTCTTTTCTTAGGGTGGAAGCCTGAGGGATGGGGCAGGGGGCTGCACTGCACAGAAAGCTGATTTTTGGCGAAGTGATGGAGGAGGAATGTTTGATTAAACAATGCCCCTCCTTATTTTCTAAAGGGCCTCTTAAACGTGTCTCCCTTAAAAGGCGCTGCTGGTTCCCTTGCACGGCTATGGACTCATTAGCCCTATTCCCCTCTCCCCCTATTTTTTCCCTTTCTACTGAGATCCCGTATTTTATGACCCCAAGTTTCACAGTAGCCGGGGCGCCAGTGTGCGCCATGAAAAATTAGGTCGTTTATTGGCTCCTGCACTCTGAACTCACTTTCTCCTCCTGCACTCAGGGCTCCTTAACCAAGCTGCAGCGCCTTGAAACACAGCACGCGCAGATACTGCCCCTCCCCCATTAAAAAAAACCTTCTTTGCTGCATTATCTGCACTCCATTAAGGATCTGATCAGATGTTCAGATTGTCTGATGGGTGCATTTAAAAGTGAAAAGGGGCTCCCGTGGGACTACTCAGGTGTATCTCCCTTCTGACCCGACGGGGAGGAGGCTGAACTCTGGTCTGACGGTGGAGCATTACCCTGCTTGTTCTCTGATTGATTCCCGGGCTCTGGGTGGGTGAAGAGCTGGGAGGCAGCCCCAGCCGAGATTGATTGCCTCAATTTCAGATTCCCACCTTCAAAATAGACTCTCAGACGTGCACACAAGGAGCCCCCTCCCCCATCACAATTTCTGGAGGTGGAGCAGGTGTCTCAGAGTCACCTGTAGCTACCAATCACAAGTGGTCCTCCTTATCTCACTGATGCGGGTTTCCCGAGTCTTCAGCTGGGACACATCAAAGCCCACGGAGAGGTGCGAATCTCAGATGCGCCTCTGCCCGTGTCCATACGTGTGGGTCGTGTGTGTGGGAGGGCTGGATTCTCCGGTGGGCAGAGATAAGGGCAGGGACTCCCACTGCAGCTTGGTCTAGAAGGCTGCAGGGAGCTGTGTGCGCCCACTAGGTTTGTTTTGCAAATTGTGGCTCTCCGGGTGGAGGTGAGACGGTAAAGGTCTCCTGGTCACCTTCCGCCCGCAGACAGCTCTCTGTCTCTCGCTGACCTTGACAGAACCTCTAAAATGATCCCGCAGTCTGGCCCTGGAGCGGGGAGCTGCAGTGTGCTGGCGCGGTGGCCCTCCTGGGCCTGCAGGAGGGACAGGTTAGGGCCCGCAGGCGCCCCCAGCCAGCCTTAGGGTGCCCGGTCGCGGGGCCTGCGCCCCCACCCCGCCATCGCTTTTGCTTCCTTCCCTCCCGCCTGCATCTCGTCCCGCTCCCCCTCTCCCACTCTTCCTCCCTCTCCCGCTCCGTCTCACACGCACCCTCTGTTTATTTTCCTGCCTCCATCTGCGCCCTGCTGATATTGTAATCACCCTGGTGCACGTTGGCTTCCCTCCTCTCCCTCCTGCGCTCACACACTCACTCACACACAATGTGCCATCCTGACAAGCCTTTTACTTCTGATAAGCTCCGATGTGTGTTTAATGAATACAAAGCCGCGGTCTGGGTGCCGCCTCGGCCGCGGCCGCCTGCGCTGCGCTCCTTTGCCAGAAGGTAATCTCCGCTCGCGGGGGAGGGCGCGGGGGAGGGGAGAAGGAAGGGAGGGGGAGGGGAGGGGAAGGGAGCGGAGGGGAGGGGGCGCGGGGTGGGGGGCGGCTCCGCGCGCTCCCGCGCTCCCTCTCCCAGCGATTCAGAAGTCGATAAGACCCGGAGAAGTGAAGATGTAACATGTTATCTGTCGCTCCTCTTAGCTGGCGGAGAGAATTTACATTTAAAGATTAGCGGAGGGAGAAAGAGAAATCTGCCTTTGTTGTGCGGGGGTGAGGAGGAGGCATCAGCCCTGGCCTTGACGCTATCTCCCATCACCTCTGCTATCCAGACAGGACTCACCGAGGTGAGATTACCCGAGGGCCTTATCTTTAATTGGGTTTAGTTTTGCCAGTCTGAATAGGTTTAAAGAGTCTCGATAAAGGGGGAACAATAGATTATTTATTGACTGGACGCAGACGCCTTTAGATGAAGAAGAGAGAAAGAGCTGCTTAACAACTTGATTAGTTCTTTTTTTTTTTTTTTTTTTTTTAATTATTTTAAGGCGAGTGTCCCTCCAGATGGAGGAAGGAAGGTAGGCAATCTGAATGACTTAAAGGGGCTTATTTGGGCTTCATTCCCACCCATGTCTTCCTGGGAGCCAGGCACCTGTGTTATTTTAAAGGAGTTTCCTTGACTCTCCCTGTTCAGGATTGTCAAACTGAGGGTAGAGGGTAGAGGCACGGGGGACTGGTCATTAACGTTTGGTTTTGTGGACTTGTTTTGGGGCTGATGTCGTGATGCTGTTGGCAGTCCTTGAAGGAGATAAGGAAATGAAACCTACTTTTAGTATGGAATTAGCTGATATATAGTGTGGTTCAGCTTCAGAGAGAGAGAGAGAGAAAGAAACACTCAAACTCTCTTAGGCAGGTTTGTATTTAGGATTTGCACCATTATTTTGTTTGTTTTGTTTTTGCCTTGGAGTCAGTTTAAGGGGAAAATAAAGCCGTGTTCTTGACTCGTGAGTGTATTTCAAAAAAATTCTAATATCAACTTTAGAATGTTCTTAAAATGAATAAAAGCAGGATGATCAGTTTTGCTTCCTACACATTGTCAAGAAAGGTGTTCTCATAGGTGGACAGAGACGATCCAGTAACTAAAAGCCTAATTAAAATTTGCTCAAAGCCAGAGCGGCATGTTTCCTTGTTGACAGCAGCAGATCGATTGGATAAGACAATAGAGTCCCATTATTTTACTCCCATTGACTGAGCATATTGACATTTCACGTTTGCCTTTGCCTCGGTGAGCATGATGAAACATTGAAATTCACAGCCCAACTGGTCAGAGTGGCACATATATTACTGTATGTCATCTCTGCCTTCAGGTTACCTTATCACCCAGGCAGAATGGGTAAGGACAGCCTGGAAGCCTTTAGAAGGGGGGGGGTAGCAATTTCCTGGGTAAGAATCTGACAAACAGCATATCTTAAGAGTATCATTAATTTTACCCAGAATTGGATGTTACATAGAAATATGAAGCATGCTTTGCACTACTTTTATTTAAAAATCTGAGAAGTGACCTAGCGAACAGGTTTGGCAGTCTTGTTTTCTGTAAGAGAATACCCATTTTCAAGATTTACTCTTCCCTGGAGGTATGACAGTGAGTCATCATCGTCATGGATCACTTCATTTAGTTGACCAACTGGTGCTTGGGTGATAATCATTCTTTCCCGGTTTGGGATATTCAAAAAGATAAGCACCTGTTAAATCTACATCTGCTAGAGGAATATATAGGGTCTCTTAAAAAATAGGACCCAAGTCTGATTTCTTGTTTCCAGTTTTCTTTGGTAGGTGGACTCCACAATGGATAGGATGTGTATATTTTATACTCATGTGCAAGCATAGACAGTGATACATATAAATAATATGTGTTTTGCAAACAGAAATAGGGAAAAAGACTAAGTATTCATTATCTTCTAATTGCACTCTATGTCTTACACATTTTGCATAGTCTTTACATAATAAAATTAAGGATTAGGCAGATATGGAATCAGATATGAACCATATAATAGTAAATATGGAAAAATACCAGAAAGGACCGAACATATATTTTTAAAGTTTAGTGAAAATACAGAATTATTATGGATATGACTTGTACACACTTTGTTGCCATCAAGCAGGCAACTGATGCCCTTTACAGTGTTTAAAACAAAACTAGCCCTTTATACCATTTTCATGAAAATGTTAGGTTTCTATTTGATCAGCAGGTGCTGTTGAGATGAAAGCCATGTGTAAATTTTCAGAAGGCCAAAAGTGTCAATTCAGAAAAGGAAAGTGATAAGAGAAAATGCAATCAGTTTTCCTGTTTTCAATTTGTGCAGGATTTGAAGGGCTGTTTTGTTAAACTGCTACATCTGCTCCAATATGAATATTGAACTACTTCCACTAAAAATAACAACCTATAATTTGGAAGCTACTGCAGTCTTTTGTTAATGTGAGTGGGTTATTTAAAAACAAAAAAAAAAACAACAAAAAATATATAAAAAAAACCAGTTTTCTATTCTGACAATCTCTTGCCTAATGTGCATTTTCATTTGTTGGCACTTTTATCCTCGGCAGATAAATGGTATTATGCAATTAGGACCTCATCTTGTTTCACTATAAAAGAGGTTTCCATAGGTGAAAATCCTGGTAATATAAAAAGGGTTTGCACAAAACAAAATTTATTTTAAAATAACCTTTTAAAATACATTTATTTAAAATGAGATAGTTATTCCTTACATTCTCTAATACTACAGTTTTTAACATACTGCGGACTATTGTAACAAAGTTAACACTATTCCATTGCATACTGAGCATTCTTTGATTTATTTCACCTTTAATATACCTGTAAATGTAAGTTTAAACTAATCAGGGATATTTTACCTAACAGGGCTTTCAGAATAATTTTTTTCATGCTTAAATAAAATGATTAAATTATGCCTGAGTGCCTGCATACAAAAGCTTTAGCTTCTATAGTACTGCTAATCAAATAAGTTTTATGGACAGGGAAAGCACCACATTAGAGAAAAATTGGATGCATTTTTCCAGTGACATTTCTAGGAAAGACATGTTCTTTAAAATCACCTTGTGTTGAAAAGAAAACGCTAACATGTCTTAAATAATCATAAAATAATACTCTGTCCCTCTAATAAAGAGACTAGCAATGCTATCCACATGAAGCATGGGCGTAGGGAATTAAGTAGAAGGGAGACTGATGAAATCTGGGTAATGTTCAATATTGATTC